AGATGTCTTTAATTCAATTCTAAAATATATTCCAAACATAAGGTGTTTGTGAAATTCAATTGAATTTCTGGATTTTTTTTATTTTTATTTTTTTGGCCAAATTAAAGATCGATGTAGAATTTTTGGATTTTCATAAACAATAGGAATTCATTTTATATTCATTTGTGAATGAATTCCATATTGAATTCGTTGCTAATTGCTAAGACAGAATTAGTTGAAAAATACTAGTAATTCTCATGTAACAAAATAAATAAATAAATTCAATATACAATACAACAATTACTAATAGCTACTGTGTTGTGTTGTTGTCAGTCCGGGGATCCTCTTAGGCCCAAGACCATATTGGGCCAACGATGCTCGTGACAAAATTTGAAAAATAAAAAAAAGACCAGGCTCTCTGCCCTAAGCCCAGCGGAACGGAATTTTTTTATTCGAAGGAAAAGAAAACATATGACATGAGATTCATTTTCGAGGCGGATCCTCTGAGGCCCAAGATGGGCTTGGGCCATGAATTTGGTAATACCAAATTTGCCGAAAAAGTTGCAAATCATGAAATTAAGCTTCTTTTTTTTTTTTTAATAATAAAAGCTAAAATTAAGTATTCTTTGGACAGAATCAAACTACGAAAAAAATAAAATAAAATCAAGAAGCTTTCTTAAAACGTTAGGAAGACGAATTCCATCTGCTCGTGGATATGATGTACCTGCATGCAAAAAATAAGGCAATACACTAGGTGATCACAATATATACCACAGACCATCTTTGGCTTGGTACTGCCATGTTTGAAATCATTTTGCCTAATATCAATCTAACAACCTTGAGCATTCATCGGATTAACAACAAAGAACAGGAATGGATTGGCATGGAGTGACTCGAGCTCAAGGTGCGAATGTGGCAGTTTACAATGTTGAGCACGAAGTCGCACCTAATTGTCACTCACCGAATGTTGAGTAGTTTAAAAATGTGTTAGAGATAAATGGAGGAAATTTTCCAATTGAAAAGTTCTAAACTTGTAATTTAACAAGTATTTTGTCTCTGAATTATCATTATAAATGATAAAAGGACATGTCCATATCATTGAGTACTTGGACGGATTTGGTGGAGCAAATCAAATTAATGCATACTTTAAAATGTTGATACATGTCAATAATTTAATTAATCTAACGATAATTTTTTGTTAAAAATAAGAAATTTTAAATTTGACTCATATAATATAAATGTGAGTTGAGTTAAAGAATGAAACAATTATTTTTTATTGTATAACTTAAAATTAAAAAATTAAATAAAATAAAAAATAAAGAAAAAATACTGTTGACACATGTTTTGGTTTCAAAATGATTTTGAAATGTTCGAATGAATGAAACCGGTCCATTTGTAAAATGTCCAACGGATATAAAATCTGTTCATTACTTGAATTATTGAAAGATAATTTCTTTTAGTAGAAATAAAAAATTTTGAATTTGAGTTATAC